TGTGTTATTGCTGGTTGAGGTGTGGTGCCATCAAACATTGCGGCCCAGAGGGACTTTGCCATGGTTACGTGGCTGGTTTCAAGGACATGACGGATAGACAGTGGCAATGCAAAGAAGATAAAATAAAAATGATGTGCTCAAGTCATTACCGAAGGCGCTCTTGCATAAGTGAACCTGCATGAGTAATGCTAGAACTAATGTAACTTGAAAAAAAAATTGAAATGTTTTTTATCAAAAATGAAAAGATGCCGTGCATGAAATTATGAAAAACAGCAGAAGGACATTAACATTTTGCAAGATAAACTGTACGTGTATGGGTGTACATAATATTAGTATTTCATGGTTTCATTGTAATGGTTTGTTGGCAACGGATGCTTTTAAAAAAGTCTGCACCCTATGGAGTCATCCTGTTCACTGATTTGCATATTGCATGAGTACACATGTCAGCTAAGAATCTGCAACATTATGTACATGTAATATTGAGGAAGACCCTTGTAAAGAGAGAACCCCTTTTTGAGGGATCTTAAATGGATTAAATTTTATATATGCAGAAACATGGACTGTACATGTATGCAGATGTACCATTCCGGTACATGTGCATACACGTACTACTAGAACTGCTGAGGTGTACGGTCTGCTCTGGGTTTTGTTACGGAGAGCCTTTATGTATATTGCAACCTGTGCAAGTGTCAATTTCAGCTTCACACAGTGATGGGCCTCATTGCCGTACACGTCCGGCGTGTGCAGGCCCCGTCAAGTGCCTTCCAGCGTCCAAGATAACGCGTCCATTAAAGTGAATTCTGCTCGCGGCCATTCAGAACTGCTGACTGCGGAGATCTCCCAGGCCAGGCTCAAGTGAAAGAAATGTCCTGTCTTGCTGTCCAAGGTTTTTTTTTATTTTCCTTGTTTTTCGTGCAGCATGTCGTGCTTCTTTTAGAATATTCGCGGAATTCACACTTACGACAAATTAATTAAGCCCGGCAGATTATACTTGCTTAATCTTGATTTCAATTGTTGATTGCACCTTGAAACAAGATAAAGTTAGGTCTCTTGAAGTACACAGTTAATTTGGTTTTGTAATATGACTCTAAAGTGTACTGTGCCATCGGTATCAATGACATACGCTACTCAGTGTAATTTTGTTTTGAATCTTATGCATGTACCGAAAGGTACTTTATTGAAGTCAGGTGTGCAAAAGGGAAAGCATTCCTTGTTCAATGTGTTTACTAAAAATGGTTGAGTTATACCGTATTAAGTTGTATCAACTGTTCATGGTTGAATCTGTCATCGGTAATTTACATTCATTTGATACGGTATGTCTTCTTACAGACTACCAGTACATGCACGTGTGGTTATGGGTGGGATCAGTGATTGATGGCTCACAATGTAATCAAATTTTGTTTGCGGAAATTGCAACCTTTTTCATCTTGGTTTTCACCCGTTTCTAATTAAGGCGGGGTTGTGCCGTATTTTCTACACATCACTGATTACTCCAAAACTGCGCAGCCTTCTCTGTGAAAGAAAAATTACGGTAGATTCATAGAGCTATCAGTCACCCTTGGCATTTGTCATTGTTGCCTTGCACCGCCTGGCGACTCTGACAGTAAAGATATTGAAAGGCTTCATTAGTTGATGGGACACCAGACTTCGTTAAAGGGGCAGTCTTTCTTCACATCAAAATGATTAGCCGTATGAGCCTATTACAGGCTACGGTTTACATCCTCTGCTGGGCAAAGAGGTCTAAAATGATGGTAAAATGGCTTGCCTGAGAACACCACGCAAGCCGGTTGTTGGATTCAAATTTCTTACTTTCCAATCATGGATGAGAGACCACATCCAGTAGAACCATCTTCCACCCTTTTCAGATAATTTTTCAGAAAACATGCACTGAAGCTGTCAGGTCGGCCTATACATCCTGATCCTGGTAATTTCCAAGATGTATGTCTAGAAATCAATTAAAGGGTGAAGGAAATCAACCTTTGAAGTGAAACTTTTATTCCCAGTTGATGTGACATGAGCCGGCATGTACTTTGTGTCACATTTAAGCAGATGGGATAGCTGACTGGTACCTTCAGTTGCAGTCATGAAATGACTACGTCCAGCAGTCATGAATTTCAGTTTATTCATGTTCATCAAGGTGTATCTTTGGCCAACATGACCCCAAACAAGTGGGATTTCACTCTGCAAGTTAAGCAGTTAGATTGTAGCACAATTAACTGTCGCTAGGTTATTTGAAACCACTTGAAATTATCCTTGTTGATAGGGGACATAACAGACTGATCCATTTACATGTACGGGGTAGATGACTCCGCTGCACTCATATACTAGGACATGAAGGCCATGATGGATTGGACTGTCTCTATGATTGGGTATTACAAGTGTATCTAGACAGTAAAAGCCAACATTTGTTTTGTCTGCAAAACTGATAAACGGTCTGCCTTTGAAATAATTTCTTTCAAGGTATTGTGATGTGGATATTTTTCATCTGTATTGGACATAATTTATAAAGATGTGCGTTATTTTGTTGCTGCAGTGGTCTGGACGGTTGAATTCTCCGAGGCATTTGCATGTATGTATAGTAATAAGGATAGTAATTATGCAGTGAGTTAAAAAATATGGCAGAATGCGTTTGGAGATCCACCCCTGGGAAAGGGGGGGAGGGGCAGAAATTTTCCGACGACAAAAGACAGCCTTGTAGGAGGCCTCCTCCTGGATGCAATTTGATCTCTTTGGCGCGCCAGACTGGCAAATGGAGGTTTTTACATGTAGGTCTTCAGCGCCGTCTGCTGGTAGAATGAGGGCCTCAGGCCAGCGGTGTGGAACGGAAAAAAAAAAAAGTAGGGGGGGGGAGGAAGGGAAGGGAGCGCAAACAAGTGGCTTTAAAGTTGCAGTGGTCGGCCAGAACCGGAAATGAAATAAGGGAGGCTGTAATGGGAGAAGGACGGTTAAAAGGAATGACTGGGACGATTTCTTGTGGGTCCTACGTGCACAGCCATGTATTGAGTTGGGAAAGATTAGGAAATGACAGGCCGTGTGGACGACTCGGGCCCATTTTTTTATGTTGCTGTCAATTTTGAAGCAGGTGTACATACATGTACATGTACACGTTGCTTGTTATGGTTTGCCTTAGTAGATAATGTCACTCTTTTAATCAGGGATTTCTGTACGCATGTACATGTACATGTACATGTAAGCACGGTTATCTCAACATGATTTTTCCCGTTAGTTCGGATGTTCTGTCGTGGACCAGTACACTGGGGAAAAAAAGAGTGATCGTAAGGATGGAGAGGTGTTAGGGGCGTGGCGAACAAAATAATCAAGGACCGTAACCATCCTAAGGCTTGTTTATGCCGGTACTTTGGGCAAATTGAGCACAGAGGGACAGTGTTGAGGGATCGGCAAATGCTAAAATTAGATTTTAGCTGTTAGACCCTTGGAATTTGCCCTGCTTTTGGTAAGATTAAAACAGAACCACAAACATGCATTGTGAGTTTGCTCTTTTTTGCAGTTGTGACAAGTTCATTTTCTTTTTTTTTTAACCAGCAGGCCATTAAAAATGTAAATACCGTGAGAGAGAGCGTTTAACAGTTAATTACGCATTAGCCCAGCTCGGCAAATTTACCTACTCTCTCAGAATGTCTGTGTCAACAACAAAGATTGACCGCTTGAGTGCTGTAATGTCTTGAACTGTGTGAGCGCTGTCACTGGAAGTGCATGAGAGGCGAGGTTTTTGTTCTTCCTAATTGATAGCGTAGGGCGATTAATAAAAAATGTAACTTTATGGATAGATAGATTTTGTGAGGTTATATCTGCCCGTGAATAAATACTGTAGAGGAGGAAGTTTGTGGTGTACAGCTCCACATCACTGAAGAGCTCCCTCTTGCTACGGCAATTTTCTTACGGAGCATAGAAGGCCTGATATGCACAAGACCTCGGAAATAAGAAAAATCACACTTTCAGGTTTCTTGTTCTCGCGCTCGAACAGCGAGAACACGGCACAAGAACACTGTTCTTGGAACAGGATCACACAGCGCCTCTTCGTCAGGGTTTTACTGGAACACACGGAAAAACTTGTGGGATTTTGATTTATGAACAGCCGCTTATAGTAACGAGATGGCTTAAAAAGCCTGAGAAAGGCTGAGACAATCGGAATTAATTACAAAATTAACATTCATAATTTTCCATAACACAGAAATGAATGCTTCTCTTTAGATAGAAAAGAATTCGGCCCAGTTATCTAAACATTAACCCTCGACTAACTTCCAGCGACAACACGTTTGTACGTTCACGGTGTTCGAGCGGCTGACCCATGAACAACAAATCGAGGTGTTCGTGAACATACGAGAACAAGCCGCCCGAATTCAGCCTCAGTGTGCAAACAAAACAAATACGGAGTAACGATAATTAGAATAATGCTCATCAGAGCAGTAGATGGTAGATGCAGACACGGGATGGGTCAGATTCATTGATTAAGTCACTGAAACAGAAAAAATGCAATCTGTTCTTCTGACTGTAAAGTTTGATGACAGTTGCCTTGGTTGATAACAAGTACTAAACTCCGTTGCTGATTAAGTTGCCCCGGACTAGACAAGTACAGGCGTGTGAATGTAATTTTAGTTTATTGATAGACCCACACGTGTTGGTGCGAGAGTTTGAGCCACACACATTTATTAGAGATATGGAAATGTCATCGCTGTGAAGGAAAAAGAATGGAGAATGTTGCATGGGTTTAATGAGTTTATTTTTACTGAGTTGCTTAGTCCATGTTGACATGGCTGTAGTGTGTTGTATGATCTTCCCGGCTGCACGGAGTTGTTTTTCAGCCATAAAGACAGACGGTCTCTCTATCGATTTAGAGACTTTCTTCCTGTCGGGGTCCCCGTTAAGGGTTGCAGGAATCATTGCACATGGCGATGGGACTCAGCATTGATTTGGATGTCGTCGTATAGCATTCATTCATATAGACATTCATTTGTACTGTCTGCCCTTTCTACCCACAGATTACAACGTACCTGGGAAAGCGAGACTTCTTGGACCACATGATACAAATTGACCCCATAGGTAAGCTCATTTGCATATTGTCAGTAAGAGTGCATAGATATATGAATAATAATGATAGTCACAGAAAAATCCTTTAAAAAATCACGGAGATAAAAGTTGTCATGGAAAGTCATGAAAAAATCATGGAAATTTTTGAAAAGGAAATACGATGTCCTGGCATCCTGTCAGAGGAAAACAGTTCTTGAAAAGTCATGGAAATCCAGATCATGCAAGAGTTATTTTTGATGGGCCGCAGTGCATATGATAACGGAATAATCCTTTTCCGTCTAAATTGTGGCTGTGGCTGTGGCTGTCTTCTAGTTTATAATGTCAAATGACTTTTCTTTAGTCCTGGAAAGTCTTGAAATAGTCCTGGAATTTTGGTCCTCAGCTTTCCGTGGGAACCTTGTCGCAGTGAATATTGAATAAGTCACTTTACAGTACAGCATGGCTTTCTTGCATGTTCACACTCATTTGTGACTCGCTCTGCAAAAGAGGGTCGCGCAGTGCCGAAACACGTAATGGCCTATTCTATCCGCTCTGAGCAGAGCAAAAGAGGGCTTTTTTTTTTGGTACTCACCTCTTAGGCGCGCCATGAGGTGCGCAAGTATATGTGTATTTGACGTGGAGCACGCTGAATACGCGTACTTAATTTATTCCGGCATGTATGGTCTTTGCGTACACGCAGAATGCTTGTAAGAACCCACTTGTAACCACCTGTCTTTCGTTTGCTGATTGGGGGTGCACTTCAGCTTGGGGCAGATTTGAGGAAGGCAAAAATTCTTCAAAAATGTGATTTTTTCTGTTTTTCCTTCAATAGCTTTCTAACGATAATATTTACATTTTCAGAATTTGTGACTGCAAATATGGATACTGATGAATAAAAATGAAAAATTTTATACATCTACATAGCATTGTGTTTGTAAGTGCTGCACTTCATGAGCTTTTTCTCAAAAAGTGCTTTTATTGAATCCGAAAATGTGGATATACAAATGTCTGTATGTCTCCAGAAAGCAGCGTATAACTGGGGTCATTCATATATCAAATTGTAGCTTTTGACGTACAGAAAACTCAAAAACCTGAACCTGGCGACTTATGACCTTTTTTTCTAGAGCCAGTCACATTTACAAATTACACTTCCATGTTATTTCTTTTCATCTTGATGAATTATGTGCATTTTTATTGTATAAACATGTACTTTTCTTATTCTGCATACTATTTACACTTGGGAGCATATATATGGTACTTCGTACGTGCCAGTGGGTGATTTGCGTTATTCTCAGTGCATATCAATTTACATAAATACAACAGAAATGTGCATGCATGTGTACATGCTTATTGGCTACCAGCATTTTTAGGCTTGAGCTCTTGATTTTTTTTTTTTTGGCTAGGTAGGTCATTCGATAAATTCAGGGTCCGAATGTGTCCCTGTTGCACCTGACCTGCGTAATTTGACGCGGAAATATCACTGAAATTGATTTCAAACCATCAGTATAAATTTCTATTTGTTTGGCAGGTAATTTGCATTAATTTACCACTCTTGGAAATTAGAGAAAGTGTTCTGAACTTACAAAATCAAATGTCAGATGTCACGGGGACTCACCAAAAAATTGGACCCCTAATTTACAGAACGACCCACATGCAAACTGATTCACATGTACATAAATACAATAGCAAATCTGCATATTTAATCATGGTGCCTGCTGCATATTGGCTACCAGCATATTTGCATCTCATCTACTCGCTACGGAGTAATACATGTACTTGATAATTTTTTGGGGGAGGAGGGGGAGGGGGCTGTCCCTTGATGGGTCTGCAAACATGACCAGCTTTTGAAGTGCTGGGTCTGGCCTTATCCCGACAACAGCGACAGCACGGCGGGGAAATTGAGCAATATTGTGCAAATTAAATTTTTTTTCTCCCCCCCCCGTGAATCTGGCTGCTTTGCCGCAGCTGCCAAGAGAGCTGGATAAATTGACAGAAAGCTTTTCAGGCGCTGGACTGACTGTACCGGGATTAAACGTCTACGGGGTACGCATTTTTATCTGTATTGATCAATCAGCGATGCGGATGACTCCTGCATTACACATGCGAAAACTTTGACTCATTTCTTAAAAAAGAAATTCGAATTCTAACTGCAGCTGAACCCAACCTCAGCGCATGTTAATGTCAGATTTTCTTACCTGGAAAAGCTGCTGGGGGCGGGTTTTTCTTACCTGCAAGTTCGTCAGCCTTGCAATTGCACTTTGACCCTACCAAGCACGACGCGTTAACACGTTAAACGCGGAAATGAAAAAAAAAGGACACCCAAAATGAGGAAGAGATGAGGAACATAAGTGTTTATAGCGTCGAGTGGTTAAGAGATTGGAGCAGAGAATGGAGATGTGCATGCGACCTACAAATACAACAAAATTTGCCGTAAATGCTTATCCGACATTTTTTCTCCAATCAAACTATAAAAAACTTGTGCTTTCTACTGCCAAAAATGAAGACCAGTATCAAACAATAAAACGTTTCCTGTCCAGTTTGTTCAAAGTAAGGTCTGTATTGAGGCTATCCCGTCTTAGCACCGGGTCTGATTTAAAGTTTCAGCGTTCAGATGCGTTAAATGATAACAGATGTTGCAGTCGCGGGTAAGTTTCTCCCCGACCATTTTTGCCGTTGACAAAAATTGGATTCTGAGTTGATGGAGCACGTCTTAGGCATCGCAGCCGCCAGAATTCTACGGATGATTAACACACATTTATGTATTCATGGTAGGCAAGCAACCGTTACCGTTGGATGCCTTTTATCAACAGACTGATGCACTGGCCATGATATCCTTTCATCTCATTAGGTTTCCTCATACCCAGAAACCGTTTTTTTTCCCCCGGAGAAATCAATAATTTCTATTTGAATGTGTCAGCCTGTCTGCCAGCCTCAAAGGTCATTGCACAGTTTTTACTGTGACTGTTTTCATCTGGAAAACAGCTTAAGAGATCTGGAGACAAAGTGTGATAACTTTTGCCACATTTTCCCTTGCATGAAACATAAATACTAGTTCTTTAAAGGATTGAGTGCTTATTTACTCACAGGCTAACCCCCAAATAAACAGTAATCCACCACAGACCATTGAATCCACCTGCACTGAATTCCCTGCTCAAATGTACAGGTGTACATGTATATTCTGGGTGCAGTGGATAAAATCACAAAGATAAAGCACACTCAACATTCGTGGAGTGCACTGTAATTAAGGGGGTGCACCTTAATTCTCAGCAGCCCTTGGAAATCTGCTTACTGTACAAGAACATGTATGAACAGAACTTCAGCCCATTTTAAGATCCTGCCTAATGCACAATTCTTTGCTTATAGGACCTGAGACAATAGGCATGACCCCAACAGCACAAAGTCTTCACCTAAGTCTTTATAAACATGGCTAGACCCTGAAATACACTTTCATGTAAAATCTGCAAGGTTTCTCTGCTTACAATGCTGCTTACAAGGGTCACTATGGAATTGAACCCTGTTCTTCGCTATTTCCATAAATGTAATTCCATTGCTGTGGATTAGACCACCGCCAGCAGGAATGACACACCCCATCTGTGTACCAAGTTGCCGTGTGGCTCACCCGAGTTTGACCGTTCACCCTTGTCTTTGTCAGATGGTGTCGTCTTGGTGGACACGGAATATGTGAAGAATCGCAAGGTGTTTGTGCACGTCCTGGCGGCGTTCCGCTACGGACGGGAGGACTTGGATGTGCTGGGGCTCACGTTCCGCAAGGACCTCTACCTGGCGTCCATGCAGGTAGGTTTAGTCGGTCTGGAGAAGAAACAGACTGCGGAATATCTGACACCAAGGGAAAGCAAGAAGATGGGCTTGAGGTCTGGACAGGTTTGCTCCGTCCTTAAGAAGCACCCTCTGAACACTCAAAACGGATGCGTTACCTTTGTGATGCTGATGCAAGCCTCCTACAGTTAGCTACTTCATTTTCAGTATTTGAATTCTTAAAAAGAAGAAAAAGAAACACATTCCTCTATGGTAGTTGCGCAGAGCCAATAACCCTCTGCTGGTTTGTTTGCTTGTGGTCATTTCCTCAGGTGTACCCTCCCATCCCTGAGGAGCAGAAACCATTGACTCGTCTACAGGAGAGGCTCATCAAGAAGCTTGGAAGCAATGCATACCCGTTCCTCTTTCAGGTAAAAGAAAAAAAGCCCCCCCTCTTTGATGGTCGACTTCCCCTACCTCTCCCCAGCTCAGCCCCTTCACCCCAGTGCCGACATCCTTCTCACGTTCCCAAATCCTCCCCTCTACGTATACAAATCCCACCCCAACTTTCCGCCCACTATTGTAGCCCCCACCTTAACCCCTGGTCCCCCCACCCTCAGCACCCCAACCCCTCTC